GAAAAGAAAAGAAAAGAAAAAAAATTGCTTCAATGACAAAAGTTACTGGGTCGGTAAGGGGCAAATTTTAATAACAGGCCTTACCAACATACCTCTATTTGTCTTGAGAGTAACAGTTCTCACTATACCATCCTTACCGGGATGGACTTCTTGTATAACTGCCAAAGGCCAATGCAAAAGAAGAGAACTGTCACATTTAAGAACCACTATGGTACCTATTTCTAAATTTGGAGACATATCATTCCATTTTCTTCGAATCTGAAGAGTATGTAAGTATTCTAAATGCCATCATTTCCAAAAATCTTCGACCATCTTATCAATCAGCTGGAAACGATCTAAACGGTTAATTTTGATTGACAATACATTTTCCGGTGACAAACTATTCGAAGGTGCCAAAGTTAAGGAAGGCGCTGGCCGAGCAAACAATCGACAATTGACATAATGGTCTGGAATTTAACAAAGCCTCTACTTGAATTAAAACGGTATTAAACTCCTCATAACTAAGTAACTGTTCGCCGATAACTCTGTAAATGTGATTTTTGGCAGACTTAACATTACTCTCCCACAATCCGCCCATATGGGGAGCCTTTGCTGGATTCAATTTAGACCATACCTTGTATCCAAATCTGATTGGTTTACCTCGGATGAATTGCTTGCATGAGTGCTTTCCAAAGTATTTATTTGACCATACACTCATCGTTATTTAAATGTTCTTCTGGAACAAAAAATTCAGAAATTTTTGCCGCAGTAAATCACTTAGAGGTCGCAGCTTATAGAATTTGTCATTTGGATCAAGTGCATTATTATTTGCGCAGTGTAGATACCGCCAAATTGTTAAAAATCGGTCTCTTCTCATTGCATCCATCACTAGTTGGTTACCAAGATCACCATCAGTATTCCAGTAACTTTTTTTCCAGGTAATTGACAATATCCCGATAAAATCAGAATAGCAATGAAATATTTCATTTCATCCAAAGTAATTTGAGGAGATGGCAAGTTTTTAAATTGCGCGTACTTGTTTGATTCTTCTACCAGTAAAGAAAGTACGTCATGATCTATGAATAACTCGAACATTTCTGTTCGGGTTGAAGTTTCAACAAATTCATAATCTGAACGACAATAATTTTCTGAACTTTCTACCAGATCGTCTTTGAGCCATTCAATGTCCTCATAAGTAACTTTTTCTACATGTTTCGTTTCTGGTTCAACCAATTCATCAACTTCACCATGTAAAACGAGTTGAACTGGAGCATTCAATTCATTCCGAGATAAATTATCAACGATTCCGCCTTCATCCTCCCCACCGGAATCCTTATCTGTGATCGCACCCTCATTCGGAGGCTCAATATAAATTTGGTCGACATCTAAATCATCATTATACGCAATTTGAAGAGCTTCTTCCAGAGTTAGCCCATCGCTAGAAAAAAAGCAAAATGTAAAAAAGTAGTCCACCGAAAGGACTCGTGTTGCCACATGGCAACATCGAGTTCCAAAGCTTCACGATTTCGAAAGTTTTTGCAAACTTCCGTGATTTCTGCCGCCGTTACGTTGATAATATATTCCTTATGCTATCGTAATGAATTTATTTTCGAAAACTGTAACAATCTCTTTGTATTTATACTTTCGTAAACTTGATATCCATTTTTGAGAAGTCTTCTTGATATTCCCTAATGAAATCGTGTTTTTATATCACTGAAGTTAACAAACAAACACAACACACGATTCTTTCAACTGACACTGCAACAAACTATTGGCGTGAATACCGCCATCTATGTTTTTAAAGAAAAATCTATAGAACTTTAAGCAACAGAAAACTGTTCATTTCTGTTGCCGTATGGCAACAATAGTCCTTGATGGGGTAATTTGTGTCTGTATTTACAAACTTCGAGCGGAGCGATACCGAACAGCCCCCCTGCGACTTTTTTCTGTGAAGAGGCCCATGAAGGGATGTCGTTTTGTGACGACAGAACTGTTTCTAGGATTGAAAAAACCGCTGATACGAGTGTAGTATATCTGAGGGGGGCTATTTTGAAGAGTACACAATAGAAATTGATGAATAAATCAATATTTCTTGAGAAAAATTGATATGCACCTTATTTTCTGAACAGGCCCCGTAGACGACGCCAATGGCAAACCCTTTTTAGGCATCTATCGAAAATACTTTTTCCATACTAGAACAGAAACTTGTCTCTTGATTTAGGTGATTAAATATAATACTTCCTCTCTTCAGGTGTCGTGATATTATTACATCCCCTGCCACCTTCCATCGAGTCGACTCTGGACTATTCAATACTACTTTCCGTGCGCGCCTCTAAATGAAGTGAATTCGGATTGAGTTATTATTTTGCTGTTATTTCGGTGCCGGTGATTCGTAGTTTATTAGAAGCTGCTATTAATGAAGTTTTCTTCGCTTTTTGTCCGAAGGGAACCAAATCTGTATAATTATTTTCGAATTATTTCTAGTTTAGCTTGACAAGGGTTATTTCGTAATTAAAAGCGAACCTAAAACATTTTAATTTTCAAGTGAATTATAAGCGTCGGGTGTAATTTGGAAAATGAGAGTAGTGTTTGGAAGTGAAGATTACATGCTATACTAGTAAATAAATTTCCGCTCGATGGCATATTCCAGTGGGAAGATGTAGAGTGAGTAATGAGCAACTATAATAATTTTGAGTTATGATAAATTGAATATTTCCTTAATGATGGAAAAGTATTATTGAAACTTTGGATTTCAAGAAGGTGTTCTAGATAAAAAACTTCAACAATTTACTTNATATATTGTTAGAATAGGAATATGATCCTTCAAAGATAACTTTCAGAAGACAGGCATTAAGTTGCCTAACTGAAACTATCACTGGAGGAATCATATTAAACAAACAAAAATATTAAACAAAATGTAAAAATGTATTTCCAAATACCTGAACTGAATAAATCGAAAATTGAGTTGAAATTGAAAATTGAATTGAACATGTTCCAGTCATAGACACCGCATGCATTATAACAACTGCGGAAACTATCTTGCTATCGAGTCTAGGCAGGCGGTCTAGGTAGTCACGATATCGTTGATTGTAGCCCGTTGACGGATCAGATAGTATGTAATTCAATTTTGTTGGTAACACGAAATGGTGGATCTTCAACGAAACTACAGTTCTTGAGAAAGTCGACTGTGTCACTTAAGATTCAGCCTGGGCAAAGTACCCTGCATAAAAAATATTTCTGCACATCTCTGAAGCTTACTACAAAACTTGCAATTATACCTTGAACGAGGAACACTGGCAAGATTAATCCATTCTTTGCTGATACGGCGACGATGCCTTTACAGAGTAGAATACCAGCTTTCTATAAGATGACTACCGGATGCAGAAATCCTTGAAGGTACGGTTTTCTAATTGAATCTCTAATCGCATCTTTTCCTGATGTACATAGCAGAGGTGCCAAAGCCGAAAAACAACTTCAATGAGTAGTCTAAATGAAGTGAATTCGGATTGAGTTATTATTTTGCTGTTATTTCGGTGCCGGTGATTCGTAGTTTATTAGAAGCTGCTATTAATGAAGTTTTCTTCGCTTTTTGTCCGAAGGGAACCAAATCTGTATAATTATTTTCGAATTATTTCTAGTTTAGCTTGACAAGGGTTATTTCGTAATTAAAAGCGAACCTAAAACATTTNTATTCAGATGTTTTCTCTAGATAGCAATTTGACATCCAGCAATTTGACGTTACCCAATGGTAAGGGTAACCAACCCAACCTCAATTCCCTCATAGGAAGCAGAACCAGCACTGATCTCTATTTTAAGCCAGTCCTTATCAAGATCACTCTAATACACTCATCATCCTGTATGCATAAGCCGCTAAGGGATAGTGCTCAAACAAATTCAGGCTCTAAATCCGAAGGTTTATGAACATATGCATGAGATATTCCATCACCTTCACAATGGAGAAAGAAGTTCAGAACAAATTGCAATTCTTAGACGTATTGGTGAAGAGGACTGACATTGAGTGGAAAACATATATATACCAAANGAATCTCTATACCCATCAGGCGACTGCGGTAGACTGAGGTAATGAAGACATTATCCTGGCAAGCCATGATGAACCCCTCAGTTTCCGACTTGAACCCACTCGACCTGAGGAGAGCGAATGTAAGGCGCTTTGATAAGCCAAGGTCAACAAGGTTATTGAAGAAGACCCCATGCATTGGCGTATCCTTGTGTTTCTGCAGAGGTGAGGGGATCTCTGCGGCTTTTATATGAACTTTTTGCTGAACGGGTTCCAACTCGGTGTCAGAGTTGTGTCAGTGACGAAAACTAAACCGAGTTCATCAGCTGCTCGGGCAGCTGCCCTAAAAACAAATCCTCCAATTCCTGCTCTCTCATGGTCACGGACCATGCATGGAAGGGGATCCGAATTCCTGACAACTTTACACGCTATATCCAGTACCATTCTGTTATTATTATTATTTTTATTATATATACACGCCACTAGTCAGAATAGTGGCCATCATGCAAACATGCACATAGTAAAGCATCAAACTTATAACGAAGAGTTAAAGAAGCAACAATAAGCTGAGTCCAAAACGAAAAAGTTTCGCTTTCAATCACGGTTAAGTGCCCCATCAGACCCCTTGAAAAGGAGCAAGGATTGTGGAATAAATATGATTGTTCTCACACACAGTAATTCATGAAAGAGAACTTTCTCCTACATATATTCACATCCCGCTAGAATGAAAATCAAACACACTTCTACTTTATTCAGTATAGGAATAGCCGTTTGGAACCGATCTCTCCATTGGATCACAGCTACTCAGTCCGAATACCCTCAGTTTCTATTCCAGACATTATTTCGAAAAAGTAGCATTATTGATCAAGGTTGTTATTTATCTCAACAAAGCGAACATGTAAAGGTTATCAATGAAAAGTAAATAATTACTGTTTTTTTATCTGACCAAGAAATGAGGTTGAGTGAATTTCAAAATAGAAATGAATTAAAAAATTATACTCACAGCCACCCTACTTTCTTTGAGGTCCAATCTCATAGCCAGCGCTTCTCTCATAAAAACATCAGGGTAGTGACTTGCTACGAACGCCCTCTCTAATTCCTCTAGTTGCCAACTGTTGAAGTTTGTCCTACTCCGCCTTCTTTTTGATGCTGCACTCTCACAATCAGCCTCTCCACTGCTACCAGCTCCACCTGGAACAAAAACAACAAATGTCACTGTCAATCACAAAATTTTGATTATCTTCTAATTTCACTAAAGCCTAGAAAATGCTATCAAGTGTTTACTTGAAATATATACATTACGTTGTTTTCTTTGAACCTGACAGTCAAATTTTATTAAATAGGTAACTTTTCATTACTCAAATTGTTGAATATGTTGTATGTGAGTTATTTCTCTCAGAAATCAGCTATATTATTTTGTACTAATGAAATATGTTCTGGAATACTGATACTTTTCAACTAATATTCATGAAAAAGAACCACATATATGAAAAAAGATTATTTTCATGAAAACATTCTTGATTCTACTTTAACTTTGGGGACAACACAATATATAAATCATTTTTCAATTTTATACCTAATTGATAAACAAATAAAACTTGAATATTACTGAAGTTTAGTCACGACACCAAACCGTCATTTTTAATACCTCGACACGTGTTTCAATCACTAAGTGGTCATCTTCAAGAGTTGGATTAAACTGTTTGATCTTTCACAGTTTGGTTTGGTTTTATTTCGCTGGTGGGCATGGCTTCGTTTCTATTTGATGGAACTATTCCTCCTTCACATAATTTTGATGAGATCATGCATTGCCCTAATTTCAGTACGGAACTGAAACCTCTTCAGTTTTTGATGAAAAAAAAAAGATCTGCCCCGATGGCAATTGAGTACAGGTAGCCCGATTTCATCAATGTTCATATCATCCTCTTTTCGATTGAAATTATTTCAGTGTTTCCAAATTTCTATTGCCTCCTTATTTATAATCTTGGATGGTATCCCTGTATTTTATCGAGGACTAGGATCTTTTTTCCAAGTAACTATTCAAGAAATTAACGAAATGAATTTGGAGAACCAAACCAATTCTGTTGTTTGTGGATCCACCTGTATCTGCAGATCTTTTTATCATAGTAAAATTAGCCGTATGTTTTGGGGCTGTAACCTGAACATTTTAGGGCTATCACTAGATCAAATCTACCTGTACGATAACTAAATAGTTAATTGCACATTTTCGATCATTTCCTCTATATAACGAACATTATAACCTAGTTAGAAAGTCTAGTTATTACATTCATAATGTGGTAGACGAGGAAACATGAATTAATCAGCTGGTAGGTACACATGCATAGACAAACACATGGTTAATGAGATATCCTCGACGAAATAAATAGGCATGGTACAGTATATTGAATAAAACCATTAAAATAATTATCGTTTCGTCGAGGTTTATTCCTTTTGTTGTATCAAGGCAAATCACTAAATTATTGCACATTATACTCGGAATAATGAAACGGTTGATTTATAATTGCAAACCGTTGACAGATTTTTCATTTTTATGATATGTAACAAGGTAAACAAATGAGAGTGAGTTCCATTTATGTGATATGTATTATGGAAAGTTGAACCTATAAACTTCGATACCGAATGAGAAATCGCTCTCCATCTTCCTATAGCTTCCACCCCAAAATAGACCAATGATGTCACAGCCCCAAAGGTTGATGAAGTCTAATGCAGATGAAAACAAAGCTCTGTGGAGATACTTACTATATAGGTATATCCGAGATGGGCTTGAACATTTAAAGTTTTCTTTAGATTCCAAAATTGAGGGGGCGACTCTTTCAGTTGTATTGTCAATTGCATATGCAGGACATTTTCTGTGAAGATTCCTGCACTGACGCCTGTTGGATATAATCCAACGCCGTTCGTGGTATTAGCCAGTGAAGTAGTGAAGTATTAGCCAGTCCATTCAACCCACTGTGTAGGTATATCCGAGATGGGCTTGAACATTTAAAGTTCATTTCTTAAGATTTGTTTACTGCCTGTCTTCAAACATAGCTCGCTGACTAATAAGAAATCATGATACCAGATGGTATCTTCGAAAGAGAGACCATTGAGACCATTTCAAACTCGGGCAGGTCCTTGATGAGGACATACCACTTCAAACGTTCACTCATGATCTGACATAATGCCGTAATAACAGTGCTACTTGATATAGGGCAACTGGTGTGTGGTCATTATCTAGTCGAAGCTAATGAAATCAACGTAAGAGCCAAATATTCCACAGATTCATGAGTCAGAATTAATTCGTTTCAGCAAAACAAATATTTGTTTAATGTTTCCGTTAACCAACTGTCACCCCCTTATGAACGATAACCCTCAGAAGTCAACACTTATGCTAGCTGAAGATTAACAAAATCCTACATAGTAGTATAATAGATAATGTAATATGTTACTGAGAATGTATATGTGCTCGCTAGTTTGAAAGCAGAAACCTATCATAAATGTCAGGGAATTTATTTTGTACATCCTAAACGCTTTGTTTTTGGTGGCTGAATTATTGTATGTAGGTTCGTTATATGTTGTTAATGTGCAATAAGAGAGGATTTTTCAATATTTCAACTCGGGCGCCAGCCACGATGGAAAAGGACGGGTTAATGAAATAATGTTATTTTTTCATCTCTGTTTCTCCATGTCGGTATATTTTCGAAGGCTGAATTTCTTTATGTAGGTTCATTTTACGTTGTAGACGTACAATGAGAAAGGATTTTCGAATATTCCAACTAGGGCTTCCCCACTAGGGATAAAAGGGTTGTATTTTCATATAAAAACTACCTTTTCATCACTGTTTCTCCATACCGCTATATTTTCGGTGACTAACATTTTTTATGTAGATTCGTGTTATGTTGTTAATGAGCAATAAAACATTTTTAAATATTCCAAGCGTACAGCTCCTATGGAATTAAATAATACAGCAAGTAATTTTCCATATCATTTGGCGACTAGAAAGAGAATAAGTATCAATCTATTATAATTAATAAAAAGAATGATACAACTTGCAATAAATATAACCTTAATACATTGTTAACTGCACCTACTCATTTACAAAAATACTTACATAGAAGGAACTGGTAGCTATCTACATGTGTTGGGTTTTGACGTGCCAACTTTAATTACTTATATCTCATTATTTTGTTATTTGGGAAATAAATAATTTATCAGATGTTACTATTGACTTGTTTTGCACAGACGAACCGTTCACCACTTGTAAGCTTGAGAATCCATCTTTAATATACCGAATATGTCTTATTAACACGCTTTTATTAGATTCACCTGTATGTATGTTTGTTTGTTTGTTTGTCAGTTTGTTTGTAACTCTCAAGCTTGGGTTCTGTATTTGACAGAATTATCGACATTATTGCTTGATCTATTCGCGGCAGATGGCGCTGTACGTAACATCCTTGATATAATTCGAAGTCACTTTACATGTATTTCTTCATTTGAAAAAAGTATTTTTTATTAGTTAACACGCGCGCCTGCTGCCTTATTTGTAACCCACCTTTGCGCGCCTGCTTTCCTTGGGCTTGGTAGCTGATTTTCAGGCTCCCTCTCCGGAATCGGAAAATATCGATGGTCATTTTTTTAAAAAGTCTCCATTGGGATCTTCTGACCACAAACTCATTTCAGTGTTGAGTGAGTTACCGATAGATGTTGGGGAACTATCTAATCTGCGCAAAGTCGGTAGCTAAAGCTGTTCTGTATCTGTATCTGTAAATTAGGGAGGGTGAGTATAGACCCACAGCACTTAGGCCACATGTGACACATTTTATATCCTCCCGAAGAGTTGTCCTCCTAGGTCATCGTCCATCCTGTCCTTTCCAGAAAGGTGGACGGGTCACTTGGAGACATCTCCTTTATATTGGCAGGTATAGGCCAAGACTCGCCGAACACACCCTCTCTTTAGCAACCTTGAGGTATCTCACGGTGGCCTCCGCGAAGGTTTTGGAAAGTACAGCGACATTACTGTCATTGCGCGGCTTCTTCAACCTTCTTGGAGTTACCTCCGTAGAGGTGTACAAGTGAGGGAGCTTTCCTGCAGGGGCAGTCGGTTCCTTGCCTTTATTCAAGGCGGAGCTCTTGGCGCTTGCCGCAGGAAGTGCCCTGGCTGTTGGAGGTGGAGTAAGGAAGGAAAAGGAACTTATAGTTGCTGCCACTCCTGCCTTCTTCGTTCTTTTTCTCCTTTTGACCTCGGCGCCGCAAATGCGCTTACGCCTTGGCCTTTGTATTACATCACGAAGTGATCTGCTCAGCCTCATTCCAAGCGGTAGATTGAGGTGAACACTTCTGTCCAGCCTCGAGATTGGTTTTTGTTTTTGTTCTTTCTGTTTTTGTGTTTGTTTCATTGATGTGTGTTCCAGCTAAAGCTGAAGCTGTTATTCAGAAGTTTACAAAATCCACAATTTCACCACTAACACAAACGGATGGTTCCATTGCAACAACAGCCATGAAAAAAGCAAATCTATTAGCTGAACAATTCGCATCCCACTCCACAGTCGATTATCTGGGACAGGCACCACACACTATTTTGACACTAGAATCTACAATGCCGGAAATTACTTTTCGACAGCGTCCAGTCAGGGCAATTTTGATAGAGCTCAATATTAACAAGGCGTCTGGTACTGATGGAGTGCCTGTCATCGTACTTAAAATATGCGCAAACGAACTCGCACCAGTATTTTGCAGACTTTTCAACCTGTCTAACAAGAAAGGGGTTTTTCTTTCTTGTTGGAAGATTGCTCCCTTTCAGCCTATTCCCACAGAGGGCAGGAAAACTCCTCTAAATAAGTATAAATCAGTCGCTTTGCTATCATTGATATCAAAAATCAGGAAGAAAGTCGTGAACCACCATACCCTCAACGCCTTGATCTATCATCAATATGGCTTACGGAAACAAAGATCAACAAGCGACCTTATATTGTATGTCACCCATATTTGGAATAATGCAATCGAGAAATATGAAGAGTCAAGAGCTATTGTTGTTCATGTAATTATAATTTCAATATTGTCAAACTTCTAGATTACAAAGACTTGTTTAGCAGCACAAATCTTTACCGCAAAATGAAGGAGGCTCTCAATTTTGAATCATTACATCCTTTCTGGCGCAAAAACAATTGAAAAGTGTTTTTTGTATAATTCAG